GTATGTGGAAAATAATGTGCTTTTTGAACCTTAAACCGCATAAACGCATTTCATTACACCAAATAATGTTATTTTTAGCAACATCATATGACCCCTTTAAACATTAAATTGATGCTACAATTTCTATTTCAAATATTCTTTTTTCAAACATTCTTTAAAAACGTTTCAACAAAGAATCCTGAAATGTAAAACATAATGCATAATAGCAGCACAACTGTTTTCAACATTGATAGAAATGTTTCTTGAGCAACATCAGAATGATTTCTGAAGAATCATGTGACACTGAAGACTAAGGTAACAGCTGCTGAAAATGCAGCCTTTCCATTACTACAATAAATTACATTTTAAATATTAAAAACAATCATTTTAAACTGTAATATTTTACAATATTGCTGTTTTATTGTATTTTTGATCAAATAAATGCAGCCTTGGTGACCTTAAAGTGTGTCTTTTTAAAATATTTAAAACAAAATCATACTAACCACAAATTTTTGGTTAATATTTAAAAAAATTTTTGAATACCAAAAAGAGCTTTCTTGGTAAATGTTGTAAAGTGAAATTTTCCTTTTATTATGGACACTTATATCCTGTCATGATTCATAAACTAAACATAACATTTAAAATAACTACAAGGAAATCCAAATCCAAATCAACACATCTGAGAGGTTTTCCATAATTGTTTATTGCAGCACCAGGCATGACATCTAACTCCTCAGAATATAATCTCAACAAGTCATGAGATACAATTCCTGGAATCGCATAAGACTACTGGAAGATGACAACGTTCACAAAAACCCTTCAGACAAAGCAGTACGAACACAAACACCAGGACAAAGCAGCAGAAGAATCACACACCACAACATTTAACCATATTCTTCACCATTTGAAAGTGATAGTTTGTTGGTTGTAATACAACAACACAATATAACTAATACAATAAAAATAAAACCAGTGATTGGCTCCTTATGATTTAAATTCTCAACTAAAAAGAGAATTTAACCCATTCCTTGTCTTTAGTTTAGCGGTTTTAGAATTCCATCCACAGTATAAATCTTTCAGATACCCCGGTGCATAAAGTTCACATAATTCACCTGCTGTCTTGCGATTCGACAGCTTATCACACACTGGAACAAAACACTAAATGAACAATACAAATATAAAGTAGGCAAATACATGGGAGAAAATTACAAAAATAACAAAAAATACTGTACAAAATAATTGAAACACTAACTCATTGTTTATCACAAAGTATCTAAACAATACATCTGAGGGGATCATTTTAAAGGTACATAACTTTGTGTGAAGCACCTACCCTTTTCTCAGAAAAGAGCCTATGGGCATGTACTGTGGACAATCAGTAATGGAGAACGAAACCAAATTAACCCATATTGTTCCTTTCAACAAGTAAACGAGCGGCTGTCAACATCTGAAGGGCTATACTGCATTCTTTCGGAAAAGCTGCTGTTTCGTACACAAGGATCACAAGAAATTCTTCGACAATCAAACCACGATAGCAGCACATGTACACTTCAACAACCATTAGTCAGCAGAGGTCATCGAGAGAATAACATCACACGAGTTTTTGCGTCTTGTAAATGTATGTACACGCTTTGGAATGTACTATCATTTTGCATAAAGAGATCAATTTTGACAGAATCTGAAGGGATAGTTCACCCAAAAAATAAAATTCTGTTTTTACTTACCCTCATGTCATTCTAAACCTGTATTTTGTGGAGCACAGAAGAAAATGCATTTGGGGACAAAAATAGTTGACTCATACAGTGATTGGAACTACATGAAGAATGACATCACAGATTTTTTTTTATTTTTGGATGAACTATCCCTTTAAGTTTTATCCCTTTATGGTTCTCAATGAACAATAAAATCAATTTTTGTAGTAACAAGGAAGCAATAATGTATATTGATGGAAAGCATGTGATATACAGTATATGCGTTTATGTATATTAAACAGTCATGAGTTTTCCTGAGGGTGTTTATATCTCAGTAACGCTCTATTTGTAGAGCATAAAGGATCTGTTAATGCACATGAAAGGGTGTTTATGCTGTATTTTGTTTTGTGTTCAGGGATCATGTTTATCTAACAGGGATTTGATGCGTTCATGTAAGGGCTGGCACACCCTCTGGTAGGCCTGCGGCGTGAGGTTCAGATAATCATACATGTCCTGATGTACGATGGAACCGTCTGAGTGAATGAACCCAGGGTCCATGTCCAGAAAGGAGACATGAGACAGAGACACTACCTCAGCCTGAACTAGAGCATTCACACTCGCATTACGCTCACGAAGAGGATTTGGACTTTTGCCTCTCGGCAGCAACCCCTAGTGGAGAGGAAAGAGAGCATTACATTCCATTACTGATGATAATTTTGGGCCTTTTACACCAAACAATGTGTTAATGGGACACCAATATCTATTGAGGATAATGCTGATGAAAATCAATTAAGAAATGACAGCCTGAGATAACGACTGAGATACTACAATTTATATATGTCATGAAAGATAAGTTGAATAACAGTTAAACTGACATTAAAAGGTCAAAATGAATATGTACTGAATATACACTACCGTTCAAACGATAGGGGTCAGTAAGATTTAATTTTAGAAAGAATGTTTTTGAAATAAAAGTCTTTTGTTCACCAAGGCTGCAATTTATTTGATCAAAAACAGAGTAAAACTGTAATATTGTAAAATATTATCCCAACTTAAAATGTATTATAAAATGATGGCAAAGCTGAATTTTCAGCAGCTGTTACTCCAGTCTTCAGTGTCACATGATCTTTCAGAAATCATTGAAATATGCTGATGTGGTGTTCATGGAACTTTTCTTATCATTATCAATGTTGACAAAAGCGGTGCTGTTAAATATTTTTGTTGAAACTGTGATACATTTTTTTTCAGGATTTTTGATGAATTGAAAGTCCAAAAGAACAGCACATTTTTGAAACATACTTTTATAATTCTACAAAGTAATTCTGTCACTTTTGAGCAATTTAATGCATCCTTGCTGAATAAAAGCATTGATTTATTTTTTAAAAATCTGACCAACCCCAACAGTAGTGTACATTATAGTAAATGTGATTAACTCTTCCATTTATATGATGAAATTATTTTAATAATTTTTGTTAATATAACATTGTATAATTTTTATCTCCTGATTCTTTTTTTTTTCTACCTTCTCTTCTTGCATTTATTTATTTTTTTGGAAACGTGCTTACATTTTGTTGGACAGGTATATTACTTTAGTTTTTTAAAGCGTATTCTGTTGCCTAATTCTCTGCTGATCATGTCACAATAGCTAAGAAAATGGCACTTTGACTTTGACAATACTGGTATGATGAATTAAATTAAACATAAACATATAAGATAACTAACCAATACAAGAGTGTGAGTGTGGGGCAGTTTCTGATGGACCACATTGATGATGGCCATGATGCCTCCACAGATCTGTTCTGGGGTGTGACCATGATTATTAGTGCCTACCCACAACACCACCACCTGAATAAAAACACACAAAATATCACATTTATACTTACTCTATTTTGCTTCAAGAGGATCTTCCACATTTGTTTTGTTATTTCCTCTTTAAGATGCCCAAATAGTGTAATTTTCTTTCATGTCCCAATACAAATAAGGGATTCATACACAAATACAAATGCAGAGATTTACTGTTTACATATACATAGTTTATCTGGACCATCTTGTATAGGGTGAAGATACTCCACCTTCATTTTTTGAAAAGCTTAATTCTTTCAAAGATCATTTTGTAAAATGAGAAAAACAAACTCTAAGAGTATTTAAAAGAGTAATCATTATTTTTAATAATATTATTTAATAAATGGTAAAATTCTTAAATCATATACCTTTGGGCTGATGTGGTCCAGTTCTCCATTCATGAGTCTCCACAATACATGCTGTGTAGCATCCCCACCAACCCCAAAATTCAGAGCATGGAGAGGAGAAAACAGCTTTCGCCAAACCTGTAAACAAACATAAAAACTAATTTTACACAAAAACATAAATATGTGTGCAGTCGCTCATATGAATGACAGATATGATGTATGAAGAAGGAGATGCAGATACTTCGCTATACCTCAAACTCATGCAGAAGCTGGACAAGTGAATCTCCAACAAACACAACATCAGGCTCTTTTCCTTTACTGTCAGACACAAATCGATTGTGCTGCAAGACGAGAACATATAAAAATGCTATTACGACTCGATTTCCATATTAGAGAAGATATTGGCCAAGTGTTTAAAACAAGGTGATATATTAGCAGCCTAATAGGGATGCTAAGGTTGTAAAATATATTATTATACAAAAGAAGCACCAGTGACATCCATCGACCATCTCCCTGTATGTCCTGACAGGGGGTGGGTGTGGCTGCAGGGTTAGAATCTTCACTCATCACTTCCTGAGGACAGACATGACAGGTTACATTTTCTCCAATAGCGTCAAATATGTATCCTCATATTAGACCAAACAATATTTAATTTCAAATTTTGACTACAACGTTGTGTTTTGAGCATACAAAATATTAAAATTCATAATGACTTTTTGACAAGTTGTACTGTGGTTAGTTTATGTACTTTGTACACATCCCACGACAACCACAAATGCAGAAAAACAATCACAGCTGAACTAGTTTGGTGCAATTTTTGGGTGAAGTTTGCACTGCAGTAGTTAACCTCACAAACAAGCTGGTGCAAAATTAGCATCTTATCTTATTAGCATCTAGCATCTTTGTGTTAATATATACAAAAGTTAACGTTCTTAGTACAGCTTACTGTGCTTATAACTAAACAGCTCACATGGCTAATGTAGCACTTAGCATGCAGATACCTTCCATTTAGAGGAACAAGACGCAAATGCGTTAAAACGCTGCGTAACATCATACTTTTGCTATTTAAGTATATATAATACATGTTAACACTAATGTCGATTCATATAAAAAAAAAACAGGGGAAATATCGTTACCAAAAAAAAGTGTTGCCACAGAAAGGTTCAGTGTTCAATCAGTCAGCCAGCGGTCTGCTGCCAAACCCCGGAAGCTGGAATATCGAGCCAGGCATTACTGGCAGATCGCCGAGCACGGTCGAGCTTTAAAATAACATTATACTTTATAAACGCGAAAAGGTCAGTAAATGTCCTTCGTTTTTGATGTTTCAGTGGTTCAAATGTACGTAAAACATTCAAACATTAATTAATGCCAATCCTCTTGACAATTTCTTCGCAGAAATCTGCGTTTGAGGTCCATCTTTGAAGCACGTTGCCAAGCAACGCAAAGGTAAAACGTAACGGCTTTTGGATTTCAACTACATACCGATGTTATTTGTTGATTTGAAATACATATATTTAACAATGAAGGAAGTACTTCACTTTGAACACAAAGAATGCTGATAATTTGAGGTATGTTGCTAAATGTTGCCATATGATGAACCTAAAAGTGCTAACGTTACGTGTAATCACAGTAAGCATGAGACTGTTAACTGAACTGTTAACTATTTATGTGAATTATAAATGCATTACAGACTAATTTGTTTCATTTTAATAACTTGTGTTTAATAGTCTTAACATGAAGATGAGCCACCAATCCAACAAAAGTGTTCTACATAAACATAACTTGCCGAAGACATCCAGTGACCGCCACAGTAGCACAGCCAAGTCTTCATGTCATACAGCCAATGCTGCCCACACCAGCAAACCAGTGTGCTCTAGCAGTATGAGAACAGATGTGCATTGCAACTCGTCACATAAAGTGAGGCATCTTAAAACCAGGAAGGAGAGGAATCAGATTCGAGGTCTGGAGAGAAACAGGTATCACCCAGGTTCTCAGCACAGCAGAAGAGAAGGTGGTGAGAAAGCACATCATCCACTAGCTTGCTCTAGAAAAGAGAGGGCATTCGCTAAGCCATTCATACCCCAGAAGCCAAGCATCATAACTAAAGGACGCCTTACTTCCAACCGAGGCCTTTTCAGTCATGAGATTAGGTCCATAGATATTGAGAGGCTGGTGAGCGAGCAGATAAAGAGAGACGAGCAGAGAAAAGAGCAAAGAAATCAGTCTATGATGCACATTACATCACTGCTGCCTCCCTCTGTACCTGATTCAGTCCCGGACTGCACTCTGGATGAAGTACAGGAACCAGAAAATAATACGCCGCCACAAGTGAAGAGGAAGAAAAGTTCAAGAAAAGAGCCTAGTGAAATAAACACAAGTGGTTTTCAGACTAATAGAGGGGTTGTTGTATCTATGGGACCATCTAGAGAAGATGGGAAGCATGACAGAAATGCCAACAGCAGAAAGGAAGATACTAATAGCAAAACAAGACAAGATAGTCCGAGTAGCCCCCCAAGAGAAACTGAACTTGTGGTTTTGTCATCCTCAGAAAATGAACCGGTTTATCAGTTATGCTCTACTCCAGTTGAAACTAATATGAATAACTCTGATGTTTCACAAACAGGCAATCTCAAATGCCCTGATGAAGAAAATGTTTTTATGAATATTCAGAGATTTGAGAAAAACTCTACAACGGTGGGATTCCCAAACATGGAAGTTACGCAAATGTTTGAAAACCCGCAGACATTAACCTCTCTATCTGACCTGGACTCTGGGGCTGGTCAAGTAGGAGAGCAAATGTCACTGTCTTGTAGGGAAGTAGTGAAAAGGCTCCTGACACGTTTGTACCAGAGTTCAGAGCTCCGTGTGCCAAGCCTTCGGCATCCCCTGCTGGCCGAGTGTAGAGAGGTGCTACTACAGGATTTACAAAAAAGACAGAGTTTCCAGTTAGAGCACAACCTCCACAGGCTACATTCATTCTTGAATAGGAATCAAATGGCTTCTCAGCTCAGCTCAGGACAGAGAGATGAAAATTGTTCACCTTCTAGCCATACAGTGGAGAATGAGGATAGGTGCTTCAACAGGAACATGGAAATATGGACAGGTGTGTCAAATTTTTACATTTGTAAAAAAAACAAAAACAAAACAAGACAGATAGAAGAAAATTCTTTTAGAAATCAGTTGAGCATGAAAACATTGGCAAGGTCATTGGCTCAATTCCCATTGAATGCAAGAAATTTATACTTTAAATACAGTGTAAGTCACTCTGGATAAAAAAGCTTTTGCCAAATTCATAAATGAAAATTAATAAATGGTAGTTAAATGTCTTTAAATAAGTCATGTTGTAGCCATCAAGTAAAGAGTAATAACATACATTGTTCTCACACTTTGAATTAAAAAAAATAATAATAATAACAGATTATGCCAAACTTCTCTGTAGGGTTTTATTATTATTATTATATCAGGACAATTGTATCACCTATTTTTTTGACGTAATGCACTCCAAAAATATTAATTTTAATTTAGAAAATATGCTTATCATTTACATGATGGATATCATTTACGATGGATATTTTAAATTACCTTTCTGCATCCTAGACAGTGCCATGCAACAAGATTACTTAACACAGGATGTTAAGCAGGACTTGGACAGAGGAGCTTTCACCAAGAAACGTAGGATACAAGAGTGGAAGACCTCATCCAATCTCTTCTCCCTTGAAGAACCACGACAGTCACAAACTGACATGGCGAGTAACGAAGTAAAGAATTAAATCCAAATAATACCAAAATAGTTGTAAACTGGACTATAACAGAGGTTTAAAAAAATTCACAGCTTGCAGTTGAGGATTGTGTGGCTATTTTGCATGTGAATTTGATTGGTTAATCTTTGCAGTTTGACCAGTTTGCAGCTAGGTTGTCTCAGGATTGCATCAGAGCTCAGCATCATCGCAGCAGACAGCTCTTTAACCAGGAACAGACCTTTACGCAGCATGCTGTCCCTATACTCAAAAGCCCCACCTGGGTTGATCATCCTGTGGACTCCTATTCTCCGCAGCAGTCACTGAGCAGAGGGGAAAGTTTGAAAAACATAGATTTAGATCTCTCAAGAATCTCTCAACAGTGGAGGGAAGACAAAGATCTTGATTTGAATTCGTATCACATATGTGAGAGCAGAAAACAAAAACCACAAGCATCTTTTGGAGGATCCAGATTCTGGTCGCATCAGCAGCAAGTTCAGGATGAAAGAGAAAGATGGGCTCCCTTCTCATTCTCAGCATCCTATCTCTCAGAGGGCTTTCAATACAAGCCTTTTTTTCGCTGTCCACATCCATCTAACACCCGGCACAGGTCAGACTGTCTTGGTATGTCTCACTGTCCCAGGACAAACACACCAGATAGGGTATTTTACCCTCCCCGTTACCTTTAGCAAAGCTGTTTGCCACAATTGAGGCTTTTTGCCAAGATTATCTTTGTATGAGTAACACACTTTTTTTTTTTTTTTTTTTTAAA